GCTATCCTGGACAAATTCACAGATGAAATAATATGTGCCCTTAATAATAAAATGCAGATTTGTGGGTTATTTTGTGATGTTGATAGAGAATTTGATTGCGTGAATCATGACATGTTACTGTGAAAAATACATGTTTAACTGTAATAATCTAATAGAGAACAACAATTCATAAAGTCTGTGGAAATTCACATGAAAGTTCTGAAATTGTGAAATGGCATCTTTCACAAATTTTTTGGTCAACACTTCGAACAGGATCATCACTCATACAGATGGCCAACCACGTCATTCTTCGTTGTGAAAATTTGTTTGCCTACCGATCATTGAACATTCTACGCTATTGTCTTACAGTTCCTTCACTCATTACATTTTGGCCATAAACCGTGCATATTTCATGATAGATTGCCGCAGCACTCATGTTTTTAATGTGAAGAAAGTGGACAACAGCAAATTACATGGCTGGTGGGATTATCAATTGCAGGACACATCATATGCTTTTGTGCTGTGTGTAGCTGAGTCTCAGACTGAGAGCATACAGTATAACCAGTACATCAACAAAACATATATCAGACACATGTATACAAAATAAAATAACAACAGCATGATAATCTAAAAATAACATAAATTAAAATATTTATAGTGTTGTATAATGAGAAGAGATGGAGATTATGAAGTGTGAATATTAATATATCAATGAAGTTGCAGAAAGATGGTGAGGAATGAGAACCCAAAGTCAGAATACACAGTGCAACAGGATGCTGCAGTATAATATCACTTTGTAGAGATAATAACAAACATTAGGTGACAATGTACGTGAGAGTATACACCTGATGATGGCCATTTATGGCCGAAACATGTAGTTTAGAGGAAAAGAAGACAAAAGAACTATAATAAATTGTTGCACTTAGGACGGAGTTTGTGTCATACATTGTGTAGAGTGTAACAGGATGCTTAAATATAATATTGTAAACTAGGTGACAAGTTATGTGATGGTTTACTAGGCAATGAGTCATGTGAAGCTACCTCACATGCACGAACTCTCCCCCACTCCTACATTAGTTGCCAAAAATAAATGTAAGTTACTTTCTGAATAGCCCTCATATTTTGTTTGTTTGGCATCAAGTACTGAATTCAAATTAAGACATGTCCTTTGCTCAGTGCTATGGAGGGTCTGTGGAATTTAAATAAATTTTATACTATTCTTTTTCTTATGACGGCACAAATCCCCAAACCACGACTCTCCTGTGACGTTTTTCCCATCAACACATGGAACTTGTCACTATCCTCTCATCCAGATATTAGGAACCCCCACTCTCTCTCTCCATTGGTCACTCACCACCATGTGAGCATATGAAAATCACTACATTTTGGTATTGCCTTACAAGAAGCATCCAAAGTACTGCTCATATATGCCTGTGTGGTAATGATATATGTAATTTTACTCTGTTAATCAAAGTACTTAACAAAAATAAATAATTTTTGAGCTCAAGTTTGTACTAAAACAAGGGCTTCGCCATTATTAGTTGCAGACACTGTAATACATTGAAAGCTATGAGGGAAAATGATAATAATTGGCATTGGACACAGGATCTTCTGAATGCTAGACTAGAACCCTGATCATAAGACCACTGGAGAAGCCTCAATGGCTGTTGTAATTCTCACTCACTCACACACAGAGCTGAATCCTTCTTGAGAAGCCGCCAATTGTGCAGCTACTCAAGAACTTCCCAGCATTTTATGGAACCTGAAGGTTCATTACCGTGTCCAGAAGAGCTCTCTGCTGGTACCTATCCTGAGCCAGATCAATCGAATCCATACCATCCCATCCTATCTAAGATCCATTTTAACATTATCCACCCACCTACGCATTGGTCTCCTCAGTGGTCTCTTTCCTTCTGGCTTTCCCACCAGTATTCTATACACATTCCTCGTCTTCCCCATTCATGCTACATGACCTGCCCACCTCATCCTCCTTTACTTGATCATTCTAATTATACTTGGATAAGAATACAAGTTACGAAGGTCCTCATTATGCAGTTTTCTCCAACCTCCTGTCACTTCATCTTTCTTCGGTCAAAATATTCTCCTCAAACACCCTCAGTCTGTGTTCCTTCCTTAATGTCAGAGACCAAGTTTCACACCCATACAGAAACACAGGCTAAATTATAGTTTTGTATATTCTAATTTTTATGTTTTTTGGCAACAGACGAGAAGACAAAAGGTTCTGGACTGAATGGTAGCAAGCATTTCCCAAGTTAAATCTCCTCTTAATTTCCTCCTGAATCAAGTTTTGATTTGTTATCGTTGTTCCCAAGTATCTGAACTGTGCCACATTTTAAAAAAATCTGTTAACTATCTTTATGTCATGATTTTGCCCTGCATTCTGCTGATGCCACATATACTTAATTTTCTCTGTTTACTTCTAGACCAAACTCCTTACTAATTTAATGTTACTATGTTTTTCTTCATGGTATCTGTATTATCACCCAGTAGATTCACATCATCAGCATACACCAACAGTTGATGTGTTCCATTTAATTTCAGTCCCATTTGGTTTTCCCTGACTTTCCTCATAGCATATTCTTAAGCAAATTTGAAAAATAATGGTGATAAAGCATCTCCTTGTTTTAGACCATTCTGGATAGGAAAATTATCACACAAATGTTTACATATATGGACTTTACTATATATTTCGTTTAAACACATTTTATTCAGCCTATTGTTTCATGGGTACTCCAAACTCTATCAGAATATTGTACAATATTTCCTTCCTAACTGAATCATAAGCTATCTTGAAGTCTACAAATAGCTGATGTACTATCTCATTGTACTCCAATATCTGATGAATGCAAAAGATCTGATCTGTAGTTGATCTGTTATGCCAAAACCCACACTGATGATCCCCAATAATTTCATCTATGTATGGACTTAACATTGAGAGAAGACTATTGTATAAAATTTTGTATGAAGTTGATAGCAGAGATATCCCATGATAATTACTATAGTCTGTTTTATCACCCTTCTTGTGAACTGGTACAATAATAGACACCTTCCATTGGTCAGGCAATTTTTCCTTATTCCAAATATGATTAATTAGATTATGGATCTTCGAACATAATATTTCACTTCCTGCTTGAATAAATTCTGCCAGAATTTGATCACTACCTGGCGATTTATATCTTTTCAACTTTGCAATAGCAATTTCTACCTCAAAAAGCTAGGATCATGTACTAACAATTCAACTGTATGTGTTTCTATCTGCCTGATATCAAGTCTCAAGTTTATCAAGATGAAGTTTAACATTAACTCCTTCAGTTTCCTGGTCATTCTCTCTTCTTTACCACTAGTATTAAAAATAAGAAAGTAATGCAAAATTTTTAGTATAATAATGACAACCAATCAACAGAAGATGGGAATAGAGCCAGCTCCCAAAACACTGTATCAAATATTAGACTGTGGACAGTATCTAATATAATATTATCATACTGAAGTAGTCATTTTCTCTGTGCTCTGTTAATACACAGAATGCTTGGGGAAGGGGGAGTGATTTAAAATTCTGGGCTCAATTCATGAAGTCTACTTTTCTGTTGCACATACTGGGGTCCTACAAATCTTACCTTTCTAGTGTTATGGTTAGGTAATAGAAATATACAATCCAGGAATAAAATTTCACTCATTGGTGAGAATGCTGGTCTTATGTGTACATGAATTTAAGATGAAATCTTACTCAAGTCAGAATTTTATATTACAGAATGTTGTGGTTCCTGTTATTATTATTAATGTTATATTCTCCTTCATAAGTATTTATGATTTAAGTATAGAAATGTTTATGATCTTTAGTGATACATAATATTATATTTCTAGTTCCAGTAGTCTATTCATTGTCACTAAAAAATGAAATATTTGCACAGCCACCATATTATTGTCTCACATACCACAAAGACAACAAATATTCTTTGAAGGTCTGTTACCATGCATCATTTCAGAACCCTGTATTCAGTGGTGCAAGTGTTACTCCCTCATCACAAGTCTGTGTATTCATATATTGTTTATATACATGTCCATAAACAACTTTTAATACTTCCAGTGAAGGCTACATGTGTTGGCATGTGGTGAATACTTTTGTGGAATGAATGTTTGAAAGAAGCTTGTATCTTCATATTGGTGCATTTTACTTGTAATTGCATTAAAGATGGTCCATCCAAACACATAAAATATATAAAAATATTTGTACATACAAAATTGCTAGAATTTGTTATGTATTGATGGAATTTGTACTTAAGTTGGTCATCTGTTGTACTGGATGCAAACAGCCTGCAGTTGGTACATATGTGTTATATTAAGCAAGAACTATTGAACAATTTCTTCTAATTATGTGAACTGTTGTGGAGTATTATGAAGTGAAACCGGCATAAGATGGAACCACAGGGGAACAGATTTATTTTCCATTGCGGCCAGGTACCATTTTGTGAAGGTACTTAAAATTAGATTAAGTTTTTTATGACTACATTACCTATACATATATTGCTTCATCCTGTGTACAAAAGTGCCATTGTTTTGGCCACATTATGTATATTGTTTATTCCTAGCAGTACAATAATGTTTTCTCCATGTATAGTAGACTGTCCCTTTTCATTACCATTTGTGATATCCTTTGGTCCTTATACATCCATAATTGAAGGCAATTTAGGAACCCAATTTGTTAAAGTTTGCTCACTAACATCAACACACTCACCACAAGCTTCACTAAACACAGTGTGACAAATTTTCTGAATCTTCCTAACCATCCGTCAGATGCCTTAAAGTCACTTTTACCCATTTCATTTCCAGTTTTTCTTAGTTTCTGTTTGATTTAAGCATTGCTACAATTTTGTCACAATTTCTTTCGTTCTCAACTTCTCTTTATCACTTGCTTTGATGACTTTTACTTTTATGTTAAGATGAAGCACTACTGTCATTTTGGAGGCCATAGTTGCAACTAATTGAAAAACTAAAAATTGCAGTGGAAAGTGGCATCACTGACAGAGTTCCGGTCAGTTTTGAAGATTGTTGTGCCAGATGAAATGCATGGCTCTATCATCACAAAGACTCTTCCAGTACGGCCAAACATGACCACACGTGATGTGTGCAAGATAATTGCTCATAAGGTCCGCATTACAAATCCTCAAGATTATGGTCTGTTCAAGCTAGTTGATGGGGAAGGTTGGTATAAACTGTTCAGCAATTACTATTTCTATTTTTTTCATTGCAAGATATGACTTATTTATTTTCCAAGAAGACCCTGTACAATTGGGTTTGTTGTCTACTGACATGTAAACCCACGTGTTCTTGTATTGTTGCCATGTCTCAGAGGAGCATGCTCCATCCATCTCAAACCTGAAGGTGGCAGCAACATGTTCCTTTGAAACATTGGTAACTTACTACCAGATTTCATAGTTTCACATCCCAGAAGACAAAACTGTTCATAGTCATTTCCATGGGAACCTCACATCTCTGCAGAACTGGATTTTGAACCATGGGATGTGTGGAGAATAAGGATGTTCAGAATTAAAAAGGTTCAGAAGGTGAAAAAAAAACAACTTTTTTGTCGATTTTAAGGTCAGTATGCTAATGTAGTAGGTGTTTGTCATTTCACCAGCTTCGTCTGCATACCCCATGTGCCTTTACGTATAATCTTATAGTGTGGCTGGTTTGAGAGTGTTTTCTTTCTCATCAAAGAACTACCCTCAGGAGGGTGATGTATATTTATCAATATATTTTCATTTTATAGGATTTAATGTCCTGGAAGTGGTGGTTATCCGGAGTAATAACCTCTGGGATATATCGCTGTGTAGTCCGTTGAAAGTCATCCAACATTTCAGAGGAACGTATCGCCTCCATCTTCACGGTCAAATCAACAAGAAAGATAACAGGGTGGAAGCAGGTGGCAAGCCATGTCTTGCCCAGCGGATTCAACCCTGAAATGGTGGCGATAGTTTCCTCTGAAACATCAGTTGACCTACCTGCTTTCACACTTGTATCTTGTCTGCTGATTCAACCCTGAAGATGGAGGTGATATTTTCCTCCAAAACGTTGGTTCACTTTCAACAGACTACAAGTCATTATATCCCAGAAGATATTACCCTTCTTGTTTTAAATTTCTTTGTGTTCCATACAGTGACTGTCAAGACACCCCTTACACTGGTCCTTATTTCACATTGTTTCAATTTCAGATTTGTTCCAAATTCCCTAGACATTTAGTCTGACAGTACCACAGCAGTTTGTGGTCTCAGGAAGTAAAAAGTCAAATAAATCTGGATATGAATAGAAAGTATGTTCTTGTAGTCAGTTCTGTCACAGTTGCACAAGTAACAGTCATTTCCAAAGTCACAAATTTCCTGCCTGTGCTTAATGACACACTTTTATGCATAGCGCATAAAATCACATACTTTTAAACGTTTATGTGAAACTGTTTCTTTGGTATATTTTGTGAACAGCACAGTGATTTTATCAACTGCTAAATTTTCATTTGAACTATAATACATAGCTTGCACTTTGGTGAGCTTATGTCCTGTATTCAGAAGGAATGAAACTGTCACAGATCAGTCACTTTGAAACTAGTAGCTAAGATTTGTAAATATTATGTCCTGCTCAGCCAGGAAGTAAAGAAAAGTTGCTTCTTGTACATTGAACTGTGGACTCAGAGAATATCAAATTGACAAATGGAAGATGGACATAATGCCACAAAATTGTAATACATAGAAGTCGCATAATAAATTTATATAGTTAAAAGGGTAATAAAATTAATATATTTGATGCGGTAGTTTCTTTTAATTCGTAATTAGTAATGCAAATGAGAAACAACAGACAGTAGCGGTAAACAGTATTTTTGTCATGTACACTCACATTCTGGAGATTGTGTGGCAGGTTTCCGTAATATAAAAACAAAGCATCGTTGAATTTAAGATCCTTATGTCTATGACTATGATGAATAACAAGCTGCAGATGTGATGCTGTGTAGTCTGGTAGAAGTTAGCCATCATTTCAGAAGAACACAGCCTCCATTTTCACAATGGAAATGTAAGCCAAGCAAACAAGCTGCAAACAGTCACATATACTTAGGCCTTTTGTTGGGTCAACTCTTCATACATAAGTAAACACAGTGTATTAATAATTTAATTTTTATTAGAAAATGATGGATAGAAATGTATTAAATACACCCTATGTTATTTCCTCATGCAGAATTGCATTTTTAAATTTGAAACCTCCCTGGTGATTTTAGTTCATGAACATCACATCTCCATAAGCAAAGGGTTATTGAAATCTGTGAATCATCATGATTAGTGAGTTGGGAAGATGTTACTGAAACAGGCACCTTGAAGTGCAGAGAAACTCTGCATAGCATATATGACAGAAATAGCCATTTCCTCTGATTTGACAATTTCAAGTCTGTAGAACTGAACTAACTTCTCTTTGTTATATATATTTGCAGAGACGCTCCTGGCTGATGGAGAATGTCCGCAGGACATCAAGGGAAATGTGGCCCAGGCTGGCAAACATTGTATGTTTGCTTATAAAAGGATAGATGCAAAAATTGCCTGGCCTAGAACATCATCGCCTCATTAGAAAACTGCAGCAACCAAACCATGGCTTGCCCACTGTTGTCACATCTTGCCATGTAAAATATTGTTACTTCTTGTGGGTGGAAGTGCATGTAAGAACTTCTGTAAAGAGGAGTATAATTTTGGTATTGGCATGTTAAACATGGCATAATAGTTTGACCCTGATGCTCTTACTTGCCAGTTTCAGTGTTCACTGTTACTTGCAGAATAATACTACCTGATCAGAGGAGCTGGTATTAGTTTCATATTTTCAGTATCTAATGTAATTAATTTGACCACAGAGATGTCAGCCAAACAAAAATGGTCATGTCTCCTACACTCAGTTTTAATTTTCATTAAATGGGAGACTGTATTACACTGTGAATAAATTTAGAGATAACATTGACAAAATATTTTTAAAACTGCCAAAAATCTTCAAACATACTGGCATAACTTTTTTGTAAAAATGAAATAAGTTATTACTTTTTTTGAGCAATATTTGAGAAAAGAAATTAATGTATTTAGGATGCCATTTATGTTTCTTAAGCAGTGAGAGTTGTGACGAACATTTAAGTTAAAACAATGGAGCAGCTTTCAAGATGGCAAGCTCAATATTATTGAAACAAGAAGTGTATATAGTTTTGTAAGATTTATTGTTTAGACTGTGATTGGAAAGTGACTTTTCACCAGTTTTTCCTCATAGTCCTCTAGGCCTTTGTACTCTGCTACTTCTAGATTATGTTATGATCCTACTCTGTATGTTTGCATTGTCAGCCATTAATTATTTTGTGGGATTGTTTGTGAGATACAAATGAAGTATTGCTTGCAGAAATTTAAAGTCACTGTACATTCAGGTTACTTGCATAACTCAGTTCACTCTATAGTAACTGAAAAGGTGAACAAGAATGTTGATTCTTGGCAGCATACGTTAATTACACTATAGCTTTTTATATGCTTAATTCCTTTACAGAACAAATAGAATTAAATGGAAAACTGCAAATTGTTTTCAAATCCTTGATGGGAATTGGGGACATACTCAATTTATTTTTGGCTTAAGCAGGGAGGTTCTCAAGCACCTAACTTTTAACTAGATTTCATTGATATTTAAGGGGCCTTAAAACTGTAGTACCATATTCCAACCAAGTCTTTTCAATTTATATATTTGTAAAATATTTCTACTCCATTCTGCAGCATGACCACTTTTTTTACTAATATGCTAGTCATGAAGCGATTGATTGAACTGAACCTTAATTAATGGCTACTATCTTTACAGTGCTGCTCATACTGGTTACATACTCTTTACTTCTGAGTATTAGACTGTAATGAAGATATTTGTATGTTTTTTATTATGTAAAAACCATGTTTTGTTTTCTTTCTTTTGTTCACATCACTTAATATAATATAATTCATCATGTATGTTAATTGTCTTTTGTAATTAAACAGAAAATGTTTTTCTAGATCACATTTTGCTGCAATTTTTATTCCTGATTTCCTAAATACACTACTCTTAATCCTTGAGTCATCTGTGGGATGTTGGTGTTCGCTGGGACCACATAAAACTATAACAACAAATGTTTATTGCACTCAGAATGGGTATTACAGATGAGTGGGGAGCATGTCTGAAGAACATAGCAGCTAACCCTGTCTAGTGATGACAGTGCTATTGTAGGCCCTGAAAAGGGCCATTTGTCCGAAGCCTTCGTTGCAGCAAGCTAGCCAGTGCAGTGTGCTTCCTTGTAGCAGCCCAATGTTCTTCTTTGCTGTAGCCCAGTGATTGCAAGTTGGTGCGATAGTGGTGAGTCTGGTTGGTTGGCTGGCTGACCTATGGTGCATGAGGTGCCGGTCGCTGGTAGAGTCAGCTGCGGTGTTGGTGCTAGTAGAGCGATTGCTATGGTAATCTCTGGATACAAGTGTAGCCATGACTGATGTGACTGATGCTAGCTGTCAGAGGCCAGCATCTTTATACTCTTGCTGCTAGGCGGCATGCTAACGAATGAACGTTGGAGCTGCTATGGTGATCGGTGACTGGGTAGTGCTTGTAAGGCGGTACAGACAGTCAGGTTGCAAGCCGTAGTGTGTAAATATCACCTGCTCTTGCTGCACTGTGGGTGTTGAGTTGTCTCTTTGACTGTGTGAGTTGACCGACATTTAACAGTTTCATGATATACAGGTGGATAATCCAACATGACTGTCTTATTCTTCTGCCACTTTAATATCATAACAGCACAGAAGACCTTCTACCAGGGGGCAATACAAGATACAGTTCAGTAGCCGCCTCAGAATACCGACAACTAGCGGACACATACTATAAAGAAATATTGACTGATCTGCTGCCTACACGCAACTTACAAATTATTCTACTGGATTTTAATGGTATAGACATGGATACATAAATATGTTTTTAATTTTTAAAGACAAATGGTAATATAATTTTTAAACTTCTATTGTTAATAATTTTGTTGGATACCTCTGAAGATGGCCCATGGGCCCAAGTATGTGGGGTGAATCAATAATTTGTCAGTTAATGATAAGTTGTATTAGATGGTTGTTTCTGATTAGCGTACATGAAAGATGCAATGACAGTAATGAAACCTGTAAAATATTAGCATTGAGAATTTTATATGTTAATCTGTAATTTGATGATTGCAAATTTTATTTGGGGAGGGGTGGATGATATTCACATGCCAGGTGATTGGTAGAGTGTAAATCTAATTTGATCTTGAATGATCTTACTAGATAGTTAATTACTCTTCAAGAAAAAATGTATTAACTTGATGCTTCTTTCCTTTAAAAATTAATTCACTTAGTGGGGGGTGGAGTCCAGCTGGGTCCACTTGGCACAGCGGCCACTGATTGGCCTATTGTAGCCTGCCCCAGGTGATTATGATGATGGAGAATTTGGTGGAATGAAGATTGGCAGGGGAAACATAATTATTTGGAGAAAACGCCCCAGCGCCACTTTGTCTACCACAAATCCCACTTGACCAGACCCGGGATCAAATCTGGTCCACTGTGGAGGGAAGCCAGCAACTAACCTCTTTAGCTATAGTGCGGCCTTCCTTTAAAAAACAATTCACTCTATGCTTGAATTAGAAATAGATTCTAATTTTAGCATTCCTATGTTATTAATTTGAAATTATCCTTGGCAGGAGGAAAACAAGCTTGAAACTGAGCTGGAGCAGTACCCTGCTAACAGTTGAAGGTCAGCCTGGTGTAGCGCAGAAAGTCAAGTCAGGATACTTACTAAGTGGAACAACCCTCTCAGGAGGATTAAGTGCTGTACAGACCATTGTAAACATTTTGCCCAAAAGTCCCTTTGAGAAACTCAGTTCAACAGGTAAGTTAACCTGGACACACACAGCTCGGTGTACCAATGTGGAAAACATGCCTTGCTTGTTGGATGGATTGTAGTGAGTACTGAATTCAGATAAGGGTTGGTATGAGTGGGTTTACAGTATACCTTATAACCCAAAGAGCCATCAGGTCTCTTATAAATTTCAATATCCAAGAAGGTGGCCATTGAACTGAGTGTTTAGCTGGTTAGGGAAGTCCTTCAGCTTCTCTGATCCATAGGGCAAGATGAATAAATTGTCATGCAAACACTGGAAGCAGTGGAGGGGCCTATAGATTGCTCTATCAAGTACTGTGCATTCAAAACCCTCTGTGAAGAAGTTGGCAATCATGAGAGATGGTTCAACCCAAAGCCATTCAATTTGGCCTCACAGAACTGGCTACCAAGGCTGGAAGTCTCAGGATATTCTCTTCAAAGTAGTTACTGAATAGGGTAAAGACCTCCCAAATCAGCACTGTGGTGAAGAGTAAGACCATATCATAACTGACCATGATGTCCTGGGGTCTGGCCCAGAGAGAGTCCAGCATGGTCATGAAATAAAGTTCTTCACATGATGCAAATAGCTGCCTAAGCAAGAGACAGACTAGCCTACCAGATGTCTTGACAGTAGCCAAGGGTGCCCAGTGGTGCTTACAGTGTCCCTCAAGGGAATCCTTTTCTTGTGGATCTTAGGAGCCTAAGATGCCTCAAACCCTGTGGTCATAGCTGTAGGTGAACTTCAGAAAGTATTTCTTGAGGGAAAAAAAAGTTTTGTGCTTCACACAATTACTTGTTTCTTCTTCCTACATATCTGGTCCTCCAGAAAGGCAACACTCTGTGGATTGTAATCATCAATAGTGAAAACAAATCCAGCATCAATGAGTTACTGAATTTTGTATAGTAAAAGTGAAAATGTATACCTACAACTACTGCCTTCTTACATCACACACTGCTTCTTTACTTATGTCCCACCTGGGTACCCTGGTGATGGTCCCATCGGTGATTGGGTTAAGCTAGCCAAATTAATATATTCCTTTACTACCCGTTTCCAGAATGTATGTATATCACTGTATATCACTATATCCTTGTTTGAGTGGACACGTAACCAAATTTACATTAAACACAAACCCCATCCTCTTGATTATGCACAACTTACAACCCCTTTGTTACTGATAATAGTTCCCCATAATATTACCCATTGAAATGTTTCAGTAACTGCACTGGTGATATTTTACAATGATTTGAAATGGACTATATGTCTTCACATTCTACTGTCATTTCTATTTTATTTTGTTGCTCTCTGCGCTGCTTACTGCCATTCGACAGGAGCTGATTTCTTCTATTGGGAAAATACTTGTCTTGCTGTCTGGTGACCAGTAACAATTTACTGATATGTTGGGATTTTGGACTTTATCCATCGTCCTGGTTTTTAAGATAACAAANAAAACCAGGACGATGGATAAAGTCCAAAATCCCAACATATCAGTGTGTTATACACCATCGTCAGAATCCTATAGTAGTAACAATTTACTTTCTGGGTTTAATGAAGCATGAATAATAGGCATTTCCAGATTTTCATATTATCTTGTTTTTAATTGCCTGTGCTACTTCTATCAATTTGTGTAAATAACTTGAGTGTTCACTGCAATTCATGTTGGAGAAGAAATGGATTTCATACTGGGTGCATTTCCACTGCTCCAGAGAACATATATAGCAGCTCTGATACTACAGGACTGTTTCAGATAAAGCACAATCATCAAATCATTTAGAATGTGATATAGATGCAGCTGTGTAAAGGCAACAAAGTGTAGTGTTCTGGCATGAAATCATAACTACTTACCCTCATCAAGCAACCACCCAAGGGAACATTTTTCATTTGATATATTGTGAGAAAACAGGTTTACAACTACTAGCCTGCCTCAATACCATTCAGATTTAAGTCCCAAATTTAATTTGGAATATGGTAAAACATGAAGAAAGCAGTCTTCTGGGATTTTGCACCGTGTATATGTGGTGTTAACCGACGTTTCGGAGGAACGTATCGCCTTCCTCCGAAACGTCGGTTAACACCACATATACACGGTGCCAAATCCCAGAAGACTGCTTTCTTCAGTTTTNGGGTAGTGGATATTCATTACTGGCTAGATCATGGTGCCAAACATGAAACTGCAGGGCAGGAAGGTGCTATCACAGGAGGCATACAAAACAGAGCAACACACAAATGTGTTCTTCCAGTGGATCCAACTCCACTGACCCAATCCGAGATGGTTGAACACATGAATCCAAGTCTGCACATGTTCCATTTAAATTATACTGAGATCTTAGGTTGTTATGGTGGTAGCAAGAATATATTCTCAAAATTGAAGCTCATTCAATTTTCTACCAATCCAAATTATGCTGTACTTACCTCAGAAATATGCAACCTTAAATCATATTACCCCCCACAAGACTCAAAAAAATAACTTGTTACTGCTGCCAAAAAACTGTACATTTCCACAGTTTCGCTTTTCAAAATATCTAATCATGCTGCCACCATTCCATTTTGATCTTTTTGCCATACTATAGACACATTTTTACAGTCACTATTCTTTATTAATGGGACAATAAGATAAAAGTGCAAATACAAACTGTCCTTTATTGAAAGTCAATGTCAATACAGCAATCCCAGACTTTAACAATACTCCATACAGCTTGAAACTCATACCCACTGTTGTTGGTTTCTGGCAAGGTGGTGATCCTGAAACAAAAGAGAACAGTTAATACTGTCTAATTTACTGCATAGATACAACATTAACACAACTGACATTCTGACTTACTGTAGTCACTCACTGCTTATTTTGACCCCCACTTGCTGTTTATTTAGACCTTGCCCTCATCTTCCTCCTTTTTCGCTTCAGCCTCCGCATTCGCTTCTTTCTCCACTGAAAAACAACAAAAAAATTCATTACTATGTGGGGACACTGCCAACATGCCTACCGTAGTCAAAAATGGGGCTTAATACCTGTTCAAATCTTGTGCCCCAGCAAAGGGATGCTGTGCAGTTCGTAATTGTATAAACTTCTAGCAAACCGCAGTGAATAACGTATTTCGGGATACGGTAAAATTAAAATCATAAATAGTTACTACAGGATTCTGACGATGGTGTATAACACACAAAGATATTGGGTTTTCGGACTTTATCCATCGTCCTCGTTTTTCTTAGTTGTCTTAAAAACGAGGGCGATGGATAACGTCCGAAAACCCAATATCTCTGTGTGAAAGCATATAATTGCAGTTTTGCTATTTTGGTGTCACATCACTTCTTTTTTCATTACGCAAATGTATTTACATGTTACTGTCCCTACTATACACTTTTCTCAATACATTCGCGAAATATTGCACTTTTTATGCCTCCTCGATGTACATGAAGCAACTTGAAATGCATCCACATGTTCATATTTAATGCACACAGAAATAAGACGAGCATTAAAAATATATCACACATACCTTCGCTCTCATTTTATTACAACTGAAACACTACTCCTTTATATTCAATAGAATGGCATATACTCTGATTCCTCCGATTTAAAATCGCAAGTTCAACAGCGTCAATACACACAAATCCTCTAACACGAGTACATTTCTGTCCTGCCCGGTCCTGCCATCTATCGGTTAGATTATGTACATGCCGTACATACTATCTTTGTTTCTCTCATCGTTGTTTATCATCATGTCCGCTTTGAAAGGTGTTGTGTCATTGTATCAACTTTTGAAGACAGAATGGACGAAGAAACCACCCAAATTGGAGAAGTGTGGCGAATTATTAACAAAGTTGAAGGTTATTTAGATATTTATTTTACAGCCATAATGATTAAATACTTGTTTATATGGTTTTGAGGTGAAAGAAATGTTGCCACCCATATGTTAATAAAGTTCTGTATTTACAGGTGGGACTTACAAATTTAATGTTTTTGCCAACATCAAATACAACAGCACCGCAGCAGGAGCTGCTGATAGCAAGTAAGGATGTTAATGAATGTTAACGTGATTAGTTTCGATTGCAAAACATACTGTTGTGTTGGGATGCTTGGGAAGTGTTTCATTTCCATTTATGATAGGTTATTTCGTACGAATTTGTAGTCAGCACAGTAGTAAAATCATGCCATAGGCATGGTATGAATAATGACGAAATTGTTTCGTCATTAGCCAGTTGATATACTTTTCTTTTTTTCTGCCATTGCATTTTGTATCAGATTATTTATACTTTTGGTTGTATAGGATTATTTGAGAGTTTGCAGCAAAACCTTTTGTCCGGTAAACTGGAAAATATATAAGCTCCTCCTCTTAACTTTTTCCATGCATACTAAGACCTGCAACACAACTGGCAAGCCCCTAAGCTAAGACATCCAAACAAAATCCACCCATACCACAGCAGATGCCACAATTGGTAACGCATATACTCTTTGCATCTTTGTAAAATGTTCACATTCACACGTCAAAGTTACTTTGCAGAAGTACAGCAAACTTAAAATTTGAAACTTTAAACCAATATCCTCTGCAACGTGTGTAAGGGAATTTTAAGGGGAATAATCAAGTCTGGCACTGACATTACTGTATTTCTCTTCTTTGAGTGCCCATTATTTTGATTTGAGGTTTTATTTTTTCAATAAACCATCTGCATATGTAAATTTATGTATGATAGTTCACTTGCAGACTAAAGCCACAGAGTTCTCACATTTTCTAGACAATTGGCTCATAGATGGCCGTGNGCCTCCATATGGCACTATAACATCCTGAAATTTATACCAGATTGTTCTCAATTTTCATATGGGTATAGTGTATGAACACTCATTTTCCTATGTAATTCACTTCACTTCCACACAGAAAGTAACAGGACCAATTGGATGTTTAAAACAGTTACAGGGGCTTGTGATTGTGGTCAGCAGGCATGTTACACATAAGCTTACTTCATGTAGTTGAAATATTTACTGGAGTGATGCTGGAGAGAAATTGTAATGTGTATAGGCCATGGGTCTGTCAGCTACACCACAGGTCGGTGCGAGGTGATGTGAGTAGCATGTGTCTTCCCACAGGACTGGCCAAACTATTTCCAGCAAGATCTCCAATAATCTCTCTGTAGATTAAGTTTGCATTAGAAATGTTTTGTAGTCACATCTCAACCTGCGACTCCCTGACTTAGAGATTTCCCAGATATATTACATAAAGTGCTCAACTATGTAGCAGGATACTTAAGTACAATGTTATGAAGTTCTGTACTTCTCATCCCATTACATTAACACCTGTTAGACTTATGCTGGAATATGTGGCATACTGGTGCTGCACTGAACACAGGCCCACTGATCCCAATGTTGAAAGGGTAATGGTGTTCAGTAGAGGGTTACCAAATCTCCCTCCTGAGTACAAGGAGACTTGCAGGGAGAAGAAAATAGAATGACCCATCCCACCATGGACAGCTTCTTCAGAAAACTCAAAACCCCAAGCACCACTTCCTTCACCCCCTGCCAAACCTAGTTGCTTCCAAAATATACCATAACCAGAGTTCTACTGTCTGAATTTGTCATGGCAGTAGAGATGTCATATTTTGATAAAATGTTAATGTAATTCTTCATGAAATATGGAAGTGCTTTGCTAGCTTGAATTGTAACTCTTAGCAGTCCATGTTATGACTTGAATTGTGATTTTAATTATCTTGTAAAATTTTAAGTAACTTGCTTGTTTTTATATTTATAGTAAAAGTAAATGTAAAAGTAAAGGTATTCCTGGAACAGGCTGTGGAGGTCCATAGGGTTGTAAGATGATGTTGAGGTTCTCACATTTCTAGACAATTGGCTCATAGATGGCGGCAAGGTTGTCAGCCCTACCCACCGGCCACGCTTTACTCCCCAAGAAGATTCCCAGTACTCATTTCTGTTAGAGGCTGAGTTGATCCCAGGACCACAGTGTGGCTGGAAGGATTAGGTCAATTGAAAAAATCCAGTGACCTCATCGGGACTTGAACCCGTGACCTTCCGGCTTGTAGCATAGTGCCTCAACCAACTACGCTACTGCGTAGTATGTGATACCAAATTTTTTCCTTTTGCAGGAGATATTTTAGAAATAGGAGCACAGTGGAGCATAGCTGTGAAAGATATTCCATCATTTGAACGATACATGGCCCAGCTGAAATGCTACTACCTTGATTACAGGTAAAGCTAAAAGGCAGGAAATGTGTAAATTTATTGTGTTGTTAAATAGTTTTGGGGGTCATATTATTTCCAGATACACTTTTTGCAGTGTTCGACCTCTCATTATAATGAGAGTACTGTAAGAAATCAACATAAAAAATAATTATTTTTTTGTTGATTTCTTACAGTACTGTTGGTAGCTAGGACTGTCCCTCTGTGTATGTAAAAATGTAACATAACATTCTGTCAATGTCAGTTGCAATGAGTTTGCAGGAATGCTGATGTAGGTGTCACTTGATGGCTTGTTCGCACATGTACATTGCTGGTCACCAGTAAGTAACTTACTTCACGCTGCATAATGACAAAATCACATTTTGTATTTATAGTGTATTGGGTATATACTTCACTGTAAAATTTTAAAGTCCATATTGAGCTCTGTATTTCATGTCTCCTACTAACTTTATCATACAGTGAGGCCTTAAATTAAAATTTGATTCATGAGGAAATTAAGAGCACATTAAACTGGGGTAATGCTTGCTACCATTCAGTTCAGAACATGTCTTCATTGTGTACTGTCTAAACACATAAAAATAAACTATACAAAACTGTAATTTTGCCTTTGGTTNGCAGTGTTCGATCTCTCATTATTTTTTATGTTGATTTCTTACAGTTCTGTTGGTAGCTAGGACTGTCCCTCTGTGTATGTAAAAATGTAACATAACATTCTGTCAATGTAAGTTGCAATGAGTTTGCAGGAAGGCTGATGTAGGTGTCACTTGATGGCTTGTTCGCACATGTACCTTGCTGGTCACCAGTAAGTAACTTACTTCACAATGCATAATGACAAAATCACATTTTGCTTGTACTGTATTAGGTATATACTTCACTGTAAAACTTAAAGTCCATATTGAGCTCTGTATTTCATTTCTCATACTAACTTTATCATACGGTGAGGCCTTAAATTAAAATTTGATTCAAATCAAATGAATGGACAGTATTAAAATGGATCTTAGAGAGAAAGGATGGAATGAGATGGATTGGATTGATCTGGCTCAGGATAGGGATCAGTTGAGGGTTCTTGCGAACATGATAATAAATAAAATGATCAGTGATTGGATTGATCTCGCTCGGGATAGGGATCAGTTGAGGGTTCTTGCGAACATGATAATGAACCTTCGTGTTCCATAAAATATTGGGAAATTCTTGAATAGCTGCACAACTATCAACTTCTCGAAGGGTTTGGCCACATGGAGTTATTTGGTTAGTTAGTTAAATAGTTTACGTGTTTAGTAAATTTTGACATGAGCTTCATACAAAATTTGTACAGCAGTGGACCTGTACAGATGAAATTTTACATTTTCCTTTCAGTACTAATCCATCAGACCAGAGTTCATCAAAATCTAATATGAAGATGAAACACAAGGTTGCACAGATGATATTGCCTCCCATATATGAATTTATTTTACACATTTTATGCAAACACCACATAAAAGTGAACATTTATTTTAGTTTAGACAGAAAATTCTGTACTCCCAGGCTTCAGTTTACAAGAATACATAACTAAAAACAAAAATTTAACTTTATTAATGTAATTTAATATAATTTAACAACAATTCAGGGTGCGGTTAAATTAGAAAATTTGAAATTATTATTTTAAGTTTTCACTTCTCCAGACTTTGATATTAGTACTTATTGTGGTCTAGCTTCAGATAGAGCCTGTATATATGTATGTTGTATCTTTACATTATTATGAATTTGTTGATAATCACCTGTGAAAGCTAAGTCAGTGCAGTGGGCCTTAGGATGAAGGTCTGGAGTTGGTACCCCAGTAGCAGAATGGAGATTTTTCTTAACAGCATGCCTGAAATGGCTTTGGGGTTCATGTAGCCTCATGTGCTTCTGTTTTGCTGGTAACAAGAGGGTGAACATAGCTTCTCATCTCTGTCAGACATAAGGAGACCTTATTTTATGCTTATAGATGTAATTTTCTGTTTTGTGTTACAGGGATCAGTTGCCAGAATCTGCATACAAGTATCAACTTTTGGGCCTCAATTTGTTGTTCCTTCTGTCCCAAAATCGAGTAGCTGAATTTCACACTGAACTAGAACTGCTTCCAGCTGATCAGATACAAAGCAATGTGTACATCCGGCACCCACTGTCTCTAGAGCAGTACCTTATGGAAGGCAGTTACAATAAGGTAACTTCTTTCATAACAGTTTCACACTACTTTCTTTTTTTTTGGAACTAACTAACTCCGTGGTCTTAGTCCGCAAGCGAACTATAGCCACTGAGTGTCCACCGGTTGTCGGCAAAGGTAGTGCCAAAGGTAGCGCATTGGATCCCCATGGCCGTTAATCTCAGTGTTCTAGACCAGAGCTGCTACTTTTCCATTCATGTGGCTCCTTAATTATGCTCACAAGACTGAGTGTACCCTGTTCAGAGACCCACTGCTTCTCAGAAAAGTCTGGTAGCGCCAGGAATCAAACCCAGGAACTCTGACCACTAGACCACAGGCAGTCCCTAGTTATGGAAAGAAAGTAGATTTATGAGTTCAGGTATATTTCCCCACGCCCCCTTTAGCATGTGAACCAGTTAACCAATGTTTATTAAACTTGGTTTGAATGTTATCCCATTGGAGGCCATCTCCATGTCATACTTTTAATTTCCTACAGTCAATAATAACAGCAAGCAGACTTGCAAACTTGTGAGATGTTAGCAACAATGCTGCCAGTGTGTGGTAAAAGAGCATTGAAAAAGATGCAACTTTTATTAATGAAATTTAATGTAATGTAACAACATAGCAGATGTGTGAACATTTTCTTTAGCTTTCAGTTTGTTGGCAGCAACTGATGAATTGTTGGAGTTAGGCAGGTGAAATTTGGTATAGAAATAGATCGTAAACATACTTGTTTATAAGGAATGAAATGTTCCTTGCAGCTCAAAAGTGATTAATAAACAGACTCTGTGAAAGATTGAGATTATAACTGACAAATTATACAATAAAATCTTCACACAAATAAATGAAAGGGGGCAGTAATAGTAATTGATCTGTAGGATTAGCAGTTTCTACAGTAGGAAAGAAGGCTGAATGAGTTCTGCTTTGAACTCCTTGTATTTTGCTGTACCATTCTCAAGTATCTTGCAGTTCTACCTCTTGATCAGTGCTTGTCTGCTTTTATGTATCCTTATGTGGGTCAGAGAGGTTGAAATGGGTGGACATACAATTTTACCTGTAGCAAATTTCATATGCTGACTCAAACAAAATTTGAAAGAACATGATGAACGAATGAGTTCACATAGGATCCCCCGAAATTATGAAATATATGCGCGCGGTAGTGTAGTTGGTTCAGGCACTATGCTATAAGCTGGAAGGTTGCGGGTTCAAGTCCTCATGAGGTCATTGAATTTTTTCAGTTAACTTAATCCTTCCAGTCGCACTGTAGTCCTGGGGTCAACTCAGCCTCTAACAGAGGTGAGTACCAGGAATTAATTAATTTTCCTGGGGAGTAAAGTGCAGTAAGGCTGACAACCTTACCGCCATCTTTGAGCCGATTGTCTAGATAATGTTGGACCCTCAACATCTTACAACCCTATGGGCCTTCACGGCCTGTTACAGAGACTCAGATTTGTGCTAGATGTGTGGTCTGAAGGCTGCTCCCGTTACTGACTTTTATTTGTTTCTTGTGTAGATCTTTCTAGCCAAAGGTAATGTTCCTGCTGAGAGCTACAACTTTTTCATCGACATTCTCTTAGATACAATACGCAACGAGATTGCTGCTTGCCTGGAGAAGGCATATGAGAAAATTTCTCTGAATGAGGCTGCCAGAATGTTGAACTTCCCAAACCAAACTGCAATTAAGGAGTATGGTGTTAAGGTATGTAAAAGTTTTGATGGAAGTCAGTTGTAGCTGTTGTAAACATCATTTACGATGTTTATCTCATTATGATATTAATGGAAGGATTTTGTTTTCCATTTAATGAGGTGGAATTTGCTTAGTCAACATTGGCCACACACTAGAAAACCAGAGCTTGTTTCGTAATGGATGCAAGTTTTCTCTTCATTTCCATATCCAGACTACCTAGGAACTTTCCTGAGAGTTAGTCTCTCACTTCCATTTAGTGCCAGGTTTCAGAATGCATTCCTCCACACTCCCATACACTTTTATGCCATTGTGCTTAATTAAATGCAGGGACAATTTTACCATTTCACCTTAATTTGACCAGTTCTTGCCATGTAGTGACACAAGATGGTGTGAAAACATTATTTTGTTATGTAAGATAAGGAATCTGTAAAAACATAGGGATGAATGAAGCAGAAACAATTTCTGTTTTTATGAAGATATGCTTTCATGGTATAGTGCTGAATTAGTTAAGTACATGGACAACTTTACCTTTACAGTTCTGTAGAATAACTTTTATCGCTGTGGCAGAAATGGCCCTCATCACTGTTATTATTTTCAGAAAAATTGGACTCTCGGAAGAGACAATTACTATTACTTCAGTACTGAAGAGAAGAAACGTGACGACACTTTGCCTTCCAGTGAACTTGCTGAACAAGCAATTGAATATGCAAGGGAACTAGAGATGATTGTGTAACAGTGGTAACAATGTCACAGTAAATTATTTCACTTCACATTTTCATTAACATTGTGCATTATTTCTTGTTCTTGGGAATAATGTATGCTCAAAACTTACTAGGGTGTAAGTGCATAAGATATTAATTTCATACTAATGTATATGATTTTAGACAAAATATAAACAAACATTTTTTTAATCCCATAAAGTTTTAACAGTATGATTTTTTTTTTTTTTTTTTTTTTTGTAATATACGGAAGAGAACACATTATGGGAGTTTTTGCTGAGTACAAGCTGATTGAATTGGTTAATATAAAACACCTCTTGAGTGCTGGCACATTTCAGTAAATTATATAATTATATCTGCATGCAGAATACGTGGAAAGAATTGAGGGTAGAAACATTACAACAAAAATGGGTGAAATTAAAGATATGTTGATACAAAGATGGAAAGTGACAGCCACTGGGGGGCAAAGGACCACATAGAGAGATGAAGTTTTGGAAGACTGACTGTGAGTATGATGTTTTAAACCATGAAGTGTGCAGTAGCATATGCAATGAATGAACAATATTAGTGCAGTGTAGCAGTTTCAGCATAGTAAGACACCTGAAGATGACCATTTAGGGCCGAAACATGTTGTGTCGAAGGTGAGAGTGTAAGAAAGAAGGAACAATTTGTTGCATTGTTGATGTACTGTGTAGTACAATAAACAGAATCAGACACAAAATAGAATAAGGAATGAGCAGATATGCAAAAGACGTGCTTCTGGAGGTTACAGAATATGACCCCCCCCCCCACACACACACACACACACAGAAATATTCATGGGTGGTGAGGCACTCTTATCAGCCACTTGGTGTCAGACTGAAATGTTCCAAGGACAGTGCACTTCCCCGGAAGATAATTTCAATTCCAGATGGAGGAACCATGGTAATTATCATAGTGGTAAGGCTGTGTACCAGTATATGGGAGGAGGGAAACTCATGTGAATCTTCACCATCCTGATGTAGAACTTTTTGTGTTTTTAACCTTCAGTAACTTCGTGTGAGTCTTATTATAGTACCTTAAAATCTCCACGCACTGCCTTCTTCCAGAACTGTGCCCGCTCACATTTCATAATTTTCTTTCCATCTGATTTTATGCTCTGTGGAATCAGTAGTTGAACTGTAAATAATGTGAAGGTCATAATGTGACAAAACTTTTGAAATAACTTAACGAGAGCTGAGCAATAACAATTAAGACTGATTTTATGCTGTATAACATCTGTAGTTGAAACAACGTTATTAAATAATGTGAAGATCATAATATAGAGGAAAGCTTTGGGAGAGGATAAAGAGACTTGAGCAGTGAGCATGAACACAAAACGTTGAACACGAAATTAACACCTTCATTTGTAAGATACACACATTGAGCTACCTGTAGGCCTCAAATTGCTATTAATGTTGCAGGCTTCTTTCATGAGATAATATTGTTTCTTTGATGCCCACAGCACAGCACAGTATAGTATGGCTGATTTTGTTTTATATGTTTATATATTGAATATTGGGGGCATGTGGTTACATAGTTGGTTGAGGTACTATGCCACAAGCCAGAAAGTTGTGGGTTCGATTCTGGCCCTGGGGTCGACTCAGCCCTTAACAGAAATGAGTAGCAGGAATCTTCTGGGGGATAAAGGGCAGCTGGTGCATAAGACTTACAACCTCACCACCATCTGTGAACCCAGTGTCTAGAAAATTTGGGAGCCTCAACATCTCACAACGCTGTGGGAACCTCCCACAGCATAGCAGGAGCTGGCAGTATTTATACATCACAGTTGTAACCTGACTCTCTGGACACCCACACAAGCGCTCGTAACTGCAGCTCGATCACAAACTGGTGCACACGCTGCCTGACCGCAGAAGTATATGGATGCGGGCCTCCAACATGGTAGCATCACTCAGCTTACAACACGAGAAACAGCTCCACTCTCATCAAGAAGACAGCACTGCGGTGAATCTATCCAGCAGCAGCAGGAAATTCACTGGCCAACTGACCCACTGAGACTAGCAGGTCCTCCCACTACTGCGAAAGCTTCCCTTCACTTCTTGCCATCCTGCAATTGCTGCGCTGCTATGAAGAAGACGTCCTTTTAAGGGTGATGACATCACCGGCATCATGAGCCCTGGCTAGCCCGCTATGAAGGGAGTCTCCACCGTTTATGTGATTGTTCCTGCGAGTATCGAGATTCCACAAACCTATGGGCCTCCACGGCCTATTACAGGGATCACTTTTTTTACCTTTTAAATTGGAAACTGGAAGAAATGCACTCCATTACATATACAGAATTCATAACCACATTGTTTGCTGTGTAGTAAGCTTGCTTATGTCAGGTTTAGAAATGACATTTTGGAAAACTCAAAATTTATTAGATAAAAGTAGCAAATTTCATGCTTCAGCAGCATAACAATGTACATTGTTGTATTACGACATAATCTATGAAACAGTTCATTGCATACAATAGGAAGTCCATTTCTGGCCTAATGTGAAATGGGCTTTGTAGACCGTTCCTTACTAATGTTATTCATAGGCCTCATTCATATTTTTCCCTAAATCCGAGTACGTAATAGTTTAAGTGGCTTGCAGCACGTGGCATATGACTGTGGGCTGTTGAGAGAGTTGGTATTGCAGACATCACGTGACCACATCATGCCATCCACGCTTGCCTGTGAATCACCGTAGTTTCTGAAAAACAAGTTATAAATAAAACAAAAGGTCATCTAGCAACTGGTATTCAGGTATGCTGAGATATGAAATGATAAAGGCAAGGAAATGCTATGCCAGACACACAGAAGGAGATGGCGTCTCTCATGACGACACAAGAAAAGAACTATTCCCTGATATTCGCTTACGTTATGCTTTAACTCCTGAACTTCTTATCAAGCTCTTTGCCCATATTTTGTAGATTGGTTGATTAGCAACTTATTTAAGGATGGTATACCACATGGGCGGTTCTTCTTTAGGGGCTGATGGGGCTCAGTCCCACTCAAATTTCACTACGATTTAATAACTTAATAATAATTTAATAACATTCCTTTAAACGCAGGACTTCTGAAATGGTGGTAAGCTTGAGCTGGCCGGAGTTCATTTAAATGCCTGCTGTTGGTGCGCGTTTAAATGTCCCTTCCTGTTAGGGCGCTTAAACAGTTTTAAGCATTGTGTTTTAAAATGCTGTATCTAACTGAATTTTTATGACAAATGGATGGAATTAACTTTGTATCAGCAAAGGACATAGTGTCGCATATTACAACAGAAGGTTTGAAAAAATTTATACAGTTTTACTAGACTTTCAATTTTTTTTTTTTAATTTTGATACGTACTGCAAAAATTATTTCTCAGTTCTTCACAGAGATGTTCTGCATTATAAATTAATTTCCGTTTGTAACATTTGACACATTTTAGCAGTCCCTGGTATCATAAAACGGATGGAAGCAATAAAATCATTTGGTCTTCTGCTAGCGCTGCTTACACTCTTCGGATTTTCGAATCTTTTGACTAAAGGACAGAAGAATGAAAGATTGGCTAAGACCTTCCGATATAGCTGCAAGAGATTATTGCCATCTTTAGGGTCGTGAACAGACAGTTGCATCGTGGCTGAGATACAGAGTGTGAACTGTTTTCTGTGCATTCATAGTGAAATCGAATACTGTAGTTTAATTTCAGCCTATATATACATCAAGCAAATAACAACAAAAAAGGTATGTGCATTCGCTTCTACTAGCGGTGTGTGCGCGCGCTTCCCCTATTGGAGTTTAAATGCCCGACTGGCCAAAACGGGGTACTTTGGCCACAACGAGCTTACTCACCACTGGCACAAACGGGGCACTTCACACGTTGAAGATTAAGAGAAAGTGACTGGCCAACCGTCAGTCGTAAAATGACTTTGAAACGAAGCAAATAGTAATGCTGAATTAGCTTGGTCTCAAGCGATTAAATAGCTGTGTGATTTGATAAGGGTGTGGATGGTGGGATTGAGTACCTTCATCGAGACCCTGCAAGTTGTAGGATAGAGATTAGAAGCAATTTTGTGAGGGTTTGCCTCATGCTCACACATTGAAGATGACAAAGAAACATGTGCCTTAGTATTTGTCAGCCTGCACCAGAAGTGAGAAACCTACATTCAGTTTCGACACCTTCAGCATTAGAATAGTTAGTGAATTATTTGAAATTATATGTAGCAACATACATTCCTCTGAAAGAACAGAGTGCTTTTACCTCTAGCAGCAGTTACTGTACCCATAAACTCCATGGCCTGCAGTCTGCAAGCGAACTGTATCGACCGAGTGACTGCCGCTTGTCAGCGAAGTTAGTGCCAACTTTTGCAGGTAGACAGTGTCACGTGGTCAGCGTGAATGCTCCCCACGTCCATTAATCTCGGTTTTCTAGACTAGAGCCACTATTTCCTTGAAACAGCTCCTCAGTTATCCTCACAGGGCTGAGTGGACCCCGTTCTAGACCCACTACTTCTCAGAAAGTCAGAAAGAGGCGGTCTACTGTACCCATATTTTTTTTTAAATATTTTGTAGACAGGCTGTGAAAGAGTGTTTTGGTTGGGTGGATTATCAGAATATTCTTGGGGGGCTGAAATTCCAGATCTGTTGGTTTAGGTGTATTGAGGGCAATAGTAAAGAACGAAGGGCATGTCAGTCACGGGAGAGGAATGCAAAGGGTATTTTGGTAGGATAAACAGAAGAATCTGTTGGGGATACAAATAGAATATTTAGATGGATGTTGGGAGAAATGGAACCAAGGGGGTGGCATGTGGACATGATTCTTTTATTATTATTTTTATTGGAATGAGAC